CCGAGGGGGGCGGAGGGCGGGGGGCACCAGGGAAGGGGTTGTCGCACGCCTATCCGCTCGATAGCAGCTTTCAGTCCGTGCACGTTTACTACCCCCTAGAATTTTGTGCCCTATCTTTTCGAGACTCCCTGGTCGAAAAGATTCGTTTCTATTCTTCGTACCCGGTACGCCTTCGCCCGATACAAGATTCGCGAGATTTCACCGCGGCGTCGCGATCGAAACACCCGCTCGATGGATAATTCGCCGATAGACGAAAGGCGCCGAACAGATTTCTCGTCTCCCTGCGACATAGTCGCGATCCAATCGCGCCAAACGTTTTATCGGACGATTCTTTATGGTTCTACGAAAAACGAATAAACGACGAACAAACGTTTCTTTCGTTCGTTTCACGCCTCGAGCGCGCGCCTTCTCGCCAAATCTTCGAAAAACGATACGGATGGAATTCTTACGAGGATGTCGTTAAACGCGTCTATGGTTATACGTGCTTGTTCGCAAATTGTGGCAGTTGGATGGGTCCGCGCACCGAACGACGGAAAAGAGAGCATCGCGGTACACTCGACGCTTTTCCTAGGTCTCCGTGAACGGGTCTTCGTCCTGGAAAACCCTGAAAATTGATTTTCCAGGCGCGGTCTCCCGCGGTACCCACGCACAGGTCTGTTTCTCTCTCTCTCTCTCTCTTTCTCTCTCTTTCTCTCTCTCTCTTTCCCCTTTCCCTCGGTTGCATCGATTTTCACCTGACTCTCCTCGCATCCCCTGCAGCGAACTCGAACCAGCCGTTCATTCAGAATCGGAGGAAAAGAACGAAAAATCTGGGTCAACGAAATTTCGAGAACGATAAGCGAACGGATAATGGGACGAATCGACGCTTATCACCGATGAGACGGTTCGATTTTTCGTTTCGTCGATCCGTCGTGTTTCTACCACGAACCTCTATTCTCCGGAGGAAAGAGCCGCTGTACGTTAAATTACGGGAGGCGCGAAACCTGTACTCTCTACTGGTTTGGTTTCGAGCGGGGTCGAAGCCGGCGGACCGACGATACACCTCCACGGAAATATGGAAACGCGGGCACGGGCAGAAACGCGACGCCGAAGATCCTGTTGCTTTCGAACGTTTCCGAAAGTCGGGAAAACGAGTTAAGTCGGTCAAACGGGAGAAAACCGAAACTTTTTCGACTTTGAAAGTTTCGAGGACCGAGATAAATTTACGGACGCCTCGGAAATCGGTAAACTCGAGTTTGCCCTCGTTCTAAGATTACGCACGGCAGATTCTTTTCCCACTTTGCCACCTCCGCCACCTTCTTTCTTCCGACCTAGCTAAATAGGATCGCGTGCTTCGAAAACGAAAGGTTCATGCAAAGATTCGATGTCGTTTCGGATGTTCGATACAATCGCGAGTAATATATCCAATGGAAAAAGCAAGGGGAAAAAAATGATAAAAGTTAAGGTAGGGTAAGGTGAGGCAAGGCAAAGTAAGGTAATGTAAGGTAAGATAAGGTAAAGTAAAGTAAGGTAAGGTAAGGTAAGGTAAGGTAAGGTAAGGTAAGGTAAGGAGAGGTAACGAGCGACGCGGAAAGGTCGAGGCAAGTCAAGTTGGGTTAGGTTAGAGGTGTGAACGAGAGGGAAGGGTCGCATTTCGCTTCGATAAAGTTTGTTCGATCGGTCGTTAGTCCTGTTCGAAGGGACCAACAGGCTTGCCGCGCTTGTCGTTCCTACGAGGCCACGTGTATAAATACAATGGCCACGGAAAACCGAGCCAAGAGATTTTCTAAAGCGAGGAAAACAGTGTTTATCTCTCCTCTTTTTGTCTATTCGATTCTCTCTGCGTTCAGCTTAGGAGAAAGCGAACGGACCAACGAACGGGTTCTGCTCGACGAAAAGCGCGCTGCAGCTACGACTACGGTTACGACTCGGCTACACGGCTATGGGCTACGGCAATGGCCACGGCAGACGAGCGTTTAACTTTGTTCCGAAGTTCTCCAAGGTCGTATGGTGCGGCTGTAGGTCGGTGGTGCAAGAGGTGGCGAGACCGGGAGGACAAGAGGGAGAGAATTTCCGAGGCCGCGTCATAAATCTCTATCTGCTGGCTGCTAGGGGTAAACGCTCGCGGGATATACTTCGGCGACGTCTGTAATTTCGCGCCATCAGACCTTTCTCTCGCTTACTCGTCTATTCAAGCTCCCGCCTTCCACTTCTATCATCTCTATTTCTTTTTTTACTCCTCTCTTCCACCCACCCAGTAGTCGCTGTCCCCTGTCCTTCTTACGCGTATTTCTCCTTTAGTTTCATCGTTTTTCGACAGAATTTTATTACCCGATTCGCACGTTGATCGCCCGTGTTTGATAACAAGCATCGTAACATGATTGTCAAACTTCTTATACTCGAGATCATAGAACGAGCGAGTTTCGCCCCTACGTGATCGCGGCTGTACGAATATTATCGTAAGTGACGATATATTACGCCGCTGACACGCGCCAACTGAGGTGTAAATTCATTGTAAAACGAGTATAAAAAATACGGTTGACAGTTTCGGAAATATTGTCCTCTCGCGCAATAATTCGGTAAATAATAATAATCGACGAGTTACAAGTTACAGGTTACAGACTTCTCTTCTATAGTTTCGCAGTTCTATATTACAGGGAATAATCAATCGTAAAATTGAATTCATTTTATTATCGAATTTATCGTTCTAACCGAAAAGAATTTATCGCTGTTGGTAGCAATAATGGTAGTTCAATTGTGCGAGAGAGCCGAGGCAGCGACGAGGAGATAGAGTTTGAAAATTATACGTTGGGCAAACATTAAGTAATTTCTACTCGAACCCTAGTATCAACAAGAGTAAAAATAGGTATTAAGGGCTGTCTTTCCTTCCTTCTATTTTTACCCTTTTTTTCCTTTCTCTTCTTCCCTGCCTTCCCTTCGCTCTCTTCTTTCCCACCGTTGCTTGCTTCGCTGTTATTCCTTCCCTTCTTTTTTTCTCCTTTCATCCTATCTTTACCTGCAATTGTTACCAAAAACCTCGATATAGAGTCCTTTTCGAATTTCCTTCCTACCTCTCTCTAATTTTTGCCTCGAAACGTACACAGCAACGCGCTTCGAAATGTACGCAGAATTCAGACTCGTTAAATAAATTTGCCGCATTGTACGGAAGAAGGCGATTTATCGCTTATGACTGAACTTTTGAGAGCGATATAAAAAGGGCGGCGCAAGTCTGACCCAGACCTATTTAATCCATTAAATGGTACGCTTTGCAACACCTGCTGCACTGCTACCGCTAGAAACATGGTCCTCGCTAACAACCACCACCGCCACACCACCACTAACAAGTATCATCGGATTATTACGACAACATAGAACATTGCAAATCTGTTGCTGTTAGGCGAAGCGAGGGAGAAAGAAGAATCGAAAAAGTAAAAATGCAGAGATCACGAAAGTAACAAGAGAATAACAACGAAGGGAAAGTAATGGCAATTCTGTGAATATAAAAGTGAGTGGCGATCGACTGACGACTAGCCATGTTATTTTCTTTCGTCAATTTATATAAGTGCGCGTTATTTTTCGTTATTGTACCATCGTTTCGAAAGTTTCGTCGTATCATTTTCATAAAGAGAAGATGGTTCCGATGGAAAGAAGTTCTGTACGTGTCAGCCTCTTCGCATTTCGTTCTTTAAGCAATTTTTGCGACGACCGAAAATAACGCTGGTCTAACAGTGTCGTGTCTAATGAGCAGCGCAGATGAAAAACGATTCCGGACACGTATGCAATTGCATTTACACGTTTTTCGAATTCACGACTGATCGAGAACAGACATTTTGCCGTTATTAGTGTTAAAACTGTTCGATCTGCATCGGCTTCTAAGATCAGTCGAGAGTCAAGTGTTTTATAAACGCGTTATATCCTACTTACGAAATGATTTTATCGTGAACCGTGACATATAAGTCATTTGGAACTGGTTTTCTTAATACGATACCAAGCCAATATTTTTTCCATGCAACTCGCACTCGAATAGTACGAACGTCTCGCCAATGATCGTCGTTTGTCATCGTGGCGTTCCCCTCCTTATTTTCATCGTCGAAACTTTCGCACGAAACGATTTCATCTGGCTTTGTTCACGAAATTCGTCGTACGGATGAATAAATCGTTCGAATTAAGACGACGAGAAGCGAACGAACAATTTAACCTTGTACACTATGCGCCGCGTATCGTCGAGGATGCTTTTTATTTCGTTTCGTGCGCGTCGCGGGGCAATTTATCGTCTCGAGTTTACGGAACCCGAGTATGAACTTCCAGACAGTTTGTCGACAATGTTTGACCCAGACCCATTGAAATTCTCCCTTCCTCTACACTGAGCCGCGCAAATGTCGGTCGAACTTAACGACGAAGGTACTCAGCCTGTTTCCCGCGGATCTCACTGAAACAGATCTCGCGAATTTTCTCTCTCCATCTTATCTAACCACCGACTGAACCAACTTTTTTTTTCAGGGAAGTGTTTACACTTAAGTGGTCTGACACCCGAACCACTGACAGCAGATGACGACTACAAGCTCCTACGCTTCGGTATCGGTTTCACGAATATGGTAGCTCGTGCCACTAAAGGCAGCGCTGATCTAACGAGGAAGGAAATCAAAGAAGGTCAGTATACGAGACGATAAAGGTACATAAGCGATCCTCCAACGCCCAACGACAACAAAACCTGTGGACCGCTCTTTGTACGTGTGCGTGCATCGCGCATGTAATATAAATTACACGTAATTACCGTTTACGAGCATCTATCGACCCGAATTTCCACATTATTTAAATAATACATTTGGAAAATGATTATTCGAACGATATATTATTTTATTTGGCTATAGATTAGGTGGTGCGCTATCAGTTGATTTCTTAATACGTTGATCGCCACGTCACCCATATCTATGCGACGGGTATATACTTCAGGTGGGGTGGCGTCACCTAAGTATGGATGACGCTCTTCTTGTTCGAGTTAATTAAATATAGGATTTTACACACTATACCATACCTTTTATTAATTTCTATTCTGGATAAAATATTACATTATGCTATATCGCATGGTATTTGTTAAAACATTCCAAACACATCTGTGGTGATTTTGGGCACTTCGAACAATAGTCGTCGTCGCTACTCTCCTCACTTTCAAATATATTTTCATGCTGTTTACTGGACATTTTCAGGACGAAAAAATCACTGATGTACGTCTCACAAGTATGCTTCTCGACTAAATGAAAGATCCGAGATATTTGCCACGAGCTCCCTCGGAATACTCTAGGTGGAAAGCTCGTCGCTTTCCCCATTTCAGAACTAAATAATATTTTCTTTACAATGAATCGAAGGCGATAAACAACGAATCGAAGGCAATAGACAATGATTTCCCGCTTGTCGTTCAATTTACTCTGCGTCGTACCGGCGGTCAGATTTGGGCCCCGCAGGAAACTTAGCCGAATCGCGCTGGGCGACCAACGTGTTAAATAATACATTTGGAAAATGATTATTCGAATAATATATTATTTTATTTGGCTATACATTAGGTGGTGCGCTATCAAAGGATTAATCCTATCGGGGTCCTTGATTTCTTTATCTCGATTTCGCTTTAGTCTCGACCAAGAAAAACACCGTTGACGTTTTAAAAGAAAATCGTAGTATCAAGTTGAAATAAAAAATCGTGTCATAGGAAGCGTGTCAATAACGATTCCTCCATGTTTGTCTTAGATAAGAAATTTTCTAACGATGGAGAAGTACGGTTGAAAGTGACTCGAAGAACACGGTGAGATCAAGTAATCGAAATAATATTCGATTACCTGAATAATATCCAACTTTCGTGATATAGTAAATTATAAATAAATTACGAATTAAAGATGCACGGAACGCGTATAATACGCAGAAACGTACAAAATATCCAGAGTATGGTAGCCAATAATATTACCTAATGTGCGAAACAAATCTCTGAGCGTACATTCTACCCGTTTCGTTAGTTGTATTTATAAAAACACGAATTTGCATAAACATTTGCATTTTAATAATAAAATACAGCAAAAGCAGGCTTACGAACGTAACGGATGGAAAACTTCGATGTTAGGATATGGACGATGTATATAATGCGTGTAAAAATTTTAACCATATTGTACACACATGGGCCGCAAAAACTAGACCGTTTTAGACCGAGACGAACATGTTTGAACGTGGGTTGTTCGAACCAGCCAGACGAGTATCATTTCAGCGTGCATTGCATACACAGCGACTTACACGAGTACATACGTACATACCGATTTTTTACGCTGATCAGCATCGAGCGAATTAAATTCGATAACCGAAATCACGGACCGAGGATACAGAGTTGAACATGTTGTAAATTCGTATCACGGTTTCGTTATTTGCTTCTCCGCTTATCTGAATCGTCGTTAAATTTATTGTCACGCCGACAAGATATACTTACTCGCTTCGATTGTTCCTCGAACATAAGTTTTTACGAAGAGCAACATAACCGTTGTTAATTACGGTTCATTGATGTAATGTCTCCTTCCGCTCAAAAATGTACAATGTAACGCTTAGCGTAGCTAACATAGTAATTTTTACTTCTTTATTCTCGTTCCTTTCGTACCAAAAGGTTATCGTCTGTTAACTTTCTACGCGCTGTTTTCTCGAACGCTTAACAATCCTTCACTTTTTAAGCATTTTACGCGTACAACTTTCGTTAAAACTCTGTTCTTCGTAAACGGATACTTGTACAGAAAATTACACACACATACGTGCGTATGCGTATTGCTAGAGTTCGATACGCTTTCTACGAAAAGTGTTCAAAGGTTTAAACTCGACAAAGAACGTAAAGGAACTAGATAAAGGATTAAGCTGAACCGATATAAAGAGATAACAGGGAATACGTGGTTGAACGGACGAAAATGTAAACGATATCGAATGTCGATAAACGTTGATTTACTTACCGTCTCTGGATACCTGCTAGTAGCGAGAAGTCTCGCGTGCCACTAGATTCGATTTGCTATTTATCAAATTGTTAGCAAAACCGTGTTCACTTATCTCCAACCGGTGAATAGCAATAGCAGTTATTTCTTCGGTGTGTTAAAAAAAACTAAGCACGATCGCCGCGAAAATCTTTCGATCGACTTGCACTTCGAGCCGGTACCCTCCGCGATCGTCGCCGCGAGAAGACTGACGACATGCGGCATCAGCGTTTCCAACCAAAACCGTTGAATTCTCTCGGCCGTAAGACTACGACGCTCCCGCGCGACTAATAGATCGAAAAGTCAAATTAAGACGGAACTTAATAGATCGAGGACCAAGCAATGAAATAGCACGCGAAACTCGCGTAAATGTTATTGCAAAGATGTAAATGAACCGACTTACATACTGCTTAAAAAGATATACATTGGAGCGATGAATAATTTACAGAAACCCCTCTAATTCTTTCGAACGATATACTTGAAACATATTTTCGTATCGTCGTCGAACGATCGAGAATTCTTTCGCCGGTTATATTATTAATCGACAAAACTTTACAAAGTTGGTGCGTCTTCTTTACAGGCAGTCACATTTTGTTGGAGAAATTACGAAAGTATAAACCGAAGATCGCCGTGTTTAACGGTAAACTGATATACGAGGTATTCTCTGGGAAGAAGGAGTTTGGATTCGGTAGACAACCTAACCTGGTGGACGGCACAAATACGGTAAGAAAAGAATTAATTTTGCATCTCTTTCGAATGATAAAAGTAAAAGTGTCGCTAATAATCGGCAAACTGCTGGATTTCAGTACATGTGGGTGATGCCATCGAGTAGCGCCAGGTGCGCGCAACTTCCACGGGCGGCGGACAAGGTGCCATATTATGCGGCGCTCAAGAAATTTCGCGATTACTTGAACGGCACGATCTCTCATCTGGACGAGTCCGACATAGTGTTCGCGGACTCGAAGCTGAAGAAGAAGGAACAGGAGGCGATCGAGGACAAGAAACCGGCGTATTGCGAGGAGCTTACGAACGAAGGAGAGAGCAGGATCACCGACATGAATGGAACTGTCATCAAACAAGATTCAAATTGCCAAATACCTGGCAAGAAGAAAAGAGGCAGGCCAAAGAAGATCAAGAATCCGGAAGATCAACCACCGCCCGATCCCGAGAAATTAGACGCGAACGGGGAAGTGATAAAGAAGCGACGGGGGCGGCCGAAAAAGATTCACCAACAACAAAAGCAACAGGAGCGGGAGATCAGAGAACGAGAACAACAGCAGCAACAACAACAGCAACATCAGGGTATGGGTCATCTAGGAGACGGTTACGGTACCGTGGTACCAAATTGTTTCTCTCCGCCGAAGACGTTCGCGCATATGGCTCCATACCCTCAACCAATGAACGATTCTGGATACTACGGCCAAAGCATCAACGACAGTCCGTACAGTATAAATGCGAAACAGAGCCCGGTACATTTACAGCACTACAGCCAAAGTCCGAAATCCATGTCGCTCTCGTTTACTCATTCCGATCTATCCTCGGAGATCAACACCGCGATCTCTTCGGAGAACAACTTGGAGCCTTCGCCATTGACATCTCCGAGCGTCGAACACCCAGACTTCGAACCACCTACCAGTATCTCTCAACAAAATATGAACAACGATCATCGTCAGTACAATCCGGCCGGGAACGGCGACAATACGGGCCATCACGGTAGTCCAGGAACGCCGTCTCATCCGAGTTACACCAGCTACATGGGTTACCACGAGCAAACCTCCGACCCCCACAATCCCCATCCCCATCAGACCACGCCGACACCGTTGAGTCAAACTACCGACGAACATTCGCATCACTCGCATCCCACTCCTCCGCATACGCATCCCCATACGCCGACACACGCCTCGATGTCGCCTCATCATCCGCACGAACAGTACGCCATGAAAAGGAACACCGGACAGGACGTGGCCTCGAAAAGTCTCAGCGACCTGGAATCTCTAGTCGATCAGATACCGAGCATAGCCGATGGGGGTAGCCAACGTTTGCAACACACGCATCCCGGAATGACCGACGATGGATCTCTGGCGGAAAAAATGGAAGCGCATCATCAGTCTTATTTGTCGGGATTCTCCGGTATGCCTAACGCTGGCATGTCCAATTACAGCCCTCCCTTGGCGCCTACCGGTGCGATCTATCCATCTTCGTTGCACCATTCTCCCAACGACGGTTACGGTTCTCTTTACGGCATGAATGGACGCCAACATCAAGATTCGCAGCAGCAACAACAACAGCAACAGCAGCAGCAGCAACAACAGCAGCAGCAACAGCAGCAGCAGCAGCAGCAGCAACAACAGCATCAACAGCAGCAGCAACAGCAACAGCATAGTAAATCTTATACCGTCGAAAATCTAGCGTCTAGCAATTACACGCCGAGCATGAGCCACGGACATCCTGGTAACTCGTATCCGAATATAATTCCCGGACCTCATTATCCCGTGCCGATGGGATCGACGAACGGGTATCTTTTTGGTGGCCTTGAGTCAAGCTTGATGCAACGCACCTACGGGATGAGCGGTATGAGCGGTATGGGAGGAATGCATCCATCCCTCGGTCACATGGCCAATCCTTATTCCTATAATGGTTCGTATTCTAGTTCCTTCGACGCCTATCCGGCGCCGCCAGCAGGGATTCACGCGCCCAGCGCCAATTATCCCGGCGGTTACGCGAGCGTTGGTAGCGCGACGCCAGGTACTTCTACGCCACCGTCTTACCTTCCTTCCCATCACAGGCCGTCGGTCGACCTCGCTTACGACGGTGTATGATAATCGATGTAAAGCTATTATTCGACGTACATACGCGCACGCTCACACACACGCTCGCATTCGCCCTCGCGCGCATGCGCGCGCGCGTTTACACAAACACGTATACAAATACACGCACAGGACAGACATACAGACAGACAACAGACAAACAGACAGACGAACGGACAGACAACTGGCAAACAAGCAGACGATTCGAGCGCTACGTTTATCTTTTCTACGTATTTTTACACGTTTAGGATCCGCCGGAACGATCGTCTCTTTCTGGCGCGACTTGCTACTGCGATTTGCGCGCCCGTTTTTCTTCCTCTTTCTCCTTTCATCGATCTCTCCGAGCTTCTTTACGCTTTCCTCGAACCTCCTGTACCTTTCATCGCGTGTTTTCGTATTCACTCGGAACTCTTCCCTCTCCCGATTTTTCCCCCTTCTTTTCTTTTTCATCCGGCTAGATCAACGATTAGCAACGGGCGCACGGTTCGAAACCGCGACGGCAACCGCTATGAGAAAGAAAAAGAAAGGGAAAAAGCCGGTTCTCGCACGCGCTACGCAATCAGGCTGTCGAATTATGTAAATGCGTTAATAGGGTTTCGAAAGTGGCGTGCTCGTGCAGATGCTATTTGTCTCTTTTTCGCAGTGATCGCGCATCGATCGTCGATAATGGGAAAAGTCGAACGTTGAAGTTTCGCTTCTTTCCATCGTTTTCTAACGTTATACTGTTACGCTTTCGTTATTGTTGAAGAATATTCCGCTGTTTCGCTTCACTGGCAAACATGTGCGATCTGTTGCTGTTTCAACGAATCGGTATACATTTTTCTCCGAACGTCGCTCGTTAAAACATGCAAAAGTTTTACGTATTTACGCGTGTATTCGTCCTTATTTTATCCTCTTTTTCCGTTCCTTTCGTTGTATGAGAGAAGGTATGCAGTTTGTACGCGTCGAATCGTTTACGTCACGTTATTAACTGTAATCGTTATGTCCACGAGCGAGACTGCTATTCGATAAACGGTAGCGTTCGACCTTCGTGTTGAAGCATTTTTTACGAACCAATGGACGAAATATATCCGAATTAGCGGAATATGTATACACGTTCGCGTTGAAACATTGACCGGTAATCGTAGCGATGCGCTAGTCGCAAAAATGTAATTCGCGAAAAGTCGTTCGATACACTACCGAGTAGAAAGTACGACTTTCGATGATATTCCTAAAAGAATTTGGAAATATTTTCTGTTCGCGGTGTAACAAATGCGATGTCGTAGGTATACGACTGCTGCATCCTATACAGCTATGTATATGCGTGCGTTACAGTGTATGATACGTTACATCAAAGCAATAGCGCATACACGCGTGTGCACATGATTAATTGCAAACTGTATATGTTTAATGCGAATCTAGTCAATTCGATTCGTTGAATCGTGGCGGTTTATCGCAATCGACCGAGTAATTTTACACGCGGATTAAGTCGGGAAAGAAAACTGACCGATCGATAGAGGTACTGAATTTCGCGCAATTTCCCTTCCGCTCGTACGGACAGAGAAGAGATTCGACTGAATCGCGATCGACGTTAACCGATCACAGGCGAATATTTCACCACGTTGATTGTATTCTCGCGTAATAGCCTACTTTTAACGTGTTATTTTTTATCGCCTGTATCCCAACATGAAATAGTGGAATCTTCTTTTTGGTCATCAAACGACATAGACAGATGCATTCGTCGTAATTTTTCCCTCTAACTCTTCATTATAATTTCGCGGATACTTTTTAATTTAATCGGCATAAACAGGCACGAAACAGAAATGGAAACGTAAATGGTCGAAAGATTTCTCTGTCTATACGCGTTGGTCGAACGAATCGCGAAAAGTTTGAGCAGTAAGAAAATAAAAAAAAAAAAAATTAAAAAACGGGAGAGAGATGGGTCGCGGAAGAAAATCTCTCGATAGTCGATTGGGTAGGCATCCTCGCTTTCGTACCTCGCACTCGCTACAGCCATAGCCATAATCGTTCTCGTTGCAATTTGTTTATCGGTTAATGCATATCGGTTAATCGTTGACTATCGACGTCGCTGTGAAATGTCATAGGTTACCGTGATTTTTATAGTTATCGCGTTATGTTGTCTCTCGTTAATTGTATATTTCATCGCTGCGTTTCGAGTAATCGAGGATTACAGTGTTTTTATCGATACACGATCACAAACAGTCGATGTAGATGTATGCCATAACCGACATCCTCTTTTGTCGCTAATCAATGCTGTAAAATTGCGCATCTGGCATGATTATATGCAAAGAAATAAATATACGCACGCGTACGTGTACACGATCGTACATAAACAAGTGGTAAAGAAAGAAGAAAAAAGGAAGAAAATGAAAAAGAGAAAGAAGAAAGAAGATGAAAGAGATATACGTATACGCGTGTACGCGTTCACGTGCCTATACTTATAGAATACACATACAAAGTATAAATATTATATATTGACTATCTACGATAAGCGAGAAACATTTATCGAGTAATCACATAGGATGTGTTGAAACATTTAAAATGATGCACAGGGTATAGATGAGAAAATCGTTGATATAATAACTGATGTCTATATAATGAATGTTTCTTTTGTTCTATCGGCCTCAAGGACACAAAGCGCGTACGATCGACAATTAATCTATGGTAGATGTTTTTCAGAATCCATTCCGATTCAAAGGGGACGGTTTTAGTATAAGTGTCGTCGGTGTTAATCGTTCGTCGATAATGAAACGAAACGAAGAAAAAATAAAGGGACGAAAAAGATGGAAGCAGGAAAACAGAAATGAACGTATACCGTGCCGAACGGAACGAACCATCGCTAATCGATACCTTTCGATTAATCGAATCAATCGATTGTAAATTGATCGCTAAGAATTAAGTATTAAGTATAAATATATTATACAGATTTAAGTGGTTTCGCTGTTGATCGTATCGAATAATAATAATAATAATAATAATAATAATAATAATAATAATAATAATATTAATAATAACTATAACAATAACAACAACAACAACAACAACAAAATAATAATAATTAATAATTAATAACAATAATAATTAATAATAATAAAACGAGAAAAAAGAAAGAAAATCGAAAGAAAAGAAAGGAAAAAATTTCGAGCGTAAGCGAGTAAGAGAGCTTGGGCCAAAACCGGCCTCCGACATATTTTTTAATCGCTTGGAACCCTCTATTATTCTACCTTTTAAACTTAACGGTGTGAATGTCCAGCCGACCGATCGATCGATCGATCGATCGACCGATCCGTCGATTCGTGGCCGAAAACAGTAATCGACCGCTCGCTCACTCGCTTCTATCTTAAACCACACTTCTCTGTCATAATTCTCATTATCAGCATCGTATCGATCGCTCGGATTATTGAGATGTGTTCTATATCGACCAACAACGTACAAGTACTTGCGGAGTATTTATAGCTGTTCGTACAACGCGGGAAAGAGGGGCAACGTATCTTACGTTATTCTTTGCAATTTTTATTTCGTTTCTCTTTTCCTATATTCTGCCCCCTCCCCCTCCCCCCACTTCTCTTCCTTTTTTACGTCACTCGTTGGATCAACGATTTCTCGCCTTAAAATTGATTCGCGATAATCCTCCAGACGCTTCGTTCGAAACTACATCATCCTTCCCTTCGCATCCTTCCTTTTCCTTCGCCTTTAACGCTCGCTTTTCGTCTTTTTTTTTCGTACTCGCCTTTTCGTTATTTTCTTTATCATTGGATCGGGATTACACGAAAAATCAAACTTAAAAACATTTCATTCGGATCCTTTACACGTGCAACGAACTTGCAGATTTTACTTATAACTTTCGAACAAAGCAAACAGAGAAAAATAAAGGATCCGAGAGCTCAGAGAGGACAAGGAAGGAAAAAATGTAGGATTCGATCGTTCGTTCGATCAACGAATAAGAGTAGAACCAATTCGATATAAATATTCGTTTTCTTTTTCAATTTTTACTGCGAGTTCCAGCTCCTTTTGATTAATCGACAAATTTTCTCCAACGATCGTTGATAACGATTCAATAACATGCTTGGAAATTCGAGTCGCTCGTATTTTCGTGTATGATCGTTTCGCACGAAAAAATGTTCGATCGAACAAAGTAGTGATAATATCGTACCGTGCATGTTGGAATTGAGCAATGGCGAATGCACTGCAAACGCTCATTTAAATGCACACTGTTTTCTCGCTTCGACAAATTCGTAACATCATTGCTGGTTGTTCGTTTGTTCGTTCTTTCGTCCATTCGTAATGTTCCAGATACACGAAAATTCGGGCTGTTTCTTTCATTCGAAGGAACGAATCGATGTACGCTTAACGATCATAAACGTAGCATAGTTGGATTCGTAATTCTAAATGTTGTGTGTTGCGTTATTTGCCATGAAAGTCGGTCGGTAAACTAAACTGTACTCGAAAGGTGCATCGGTTACCCAACGATTTATTTTTTACCAACCGTGCACACGAATTCGATTGTTGATTCTTCGATCGAATGTGCGATCGTCTCTATTACCAATAAACGATACGTTTTTCTTCAAAACGAGGAATACTCTTTAGAATACACGTCTGTTTCGCCATGCAGCATATTCTCTTTTGAAGAAATAGAACGTCGCATGTATTCGATTATCCACATCGAATATTCAAAATTACAAAGTTCATTATCAAATTTGAAGTACCGATCCTCTATTGACTGTATGTATGTGTATGTATTGCTGCTTATATGCATGTACACACATGCATATACACATGTAAAGCTTAAAGAGTAATTCCAGTTCTTTTACAGAAAACATTATCTGGCAACATCTATCGATTCGGACGATTTAACGAATTAAAAGACAAAGATACAGATTTCAAATAAATTCCTTTATTCTACTTAATTCATAGTATAATCGAAATATAGTGGTTCGATCGCGACGTCCCACGATCTGGAATTTTTACTGAAATGTGAAATTCAAAAATAAAATATTTGCTGTCACTTACCGTCACGAATGTGACTTCGAAGTTTGCCAGACTAACGTATAAGATTGATGCTAATTGTTATTTCGTGTTTTCTCGACTCTTTCTTGATTGCTTTGACTAGCTTTGCGTACACGTACAGAACGTAATTTATGATATCGAATCTTTCCAGTAAAAGGAAATCTTTAACAATCTATTACCGCTTCGTTAGAATCCTGTTTAGCATCCTTTCAACAATCATATTGCAGTCAGTTTCGTTGTTACTGTCCAAACATAATTGTAACGATATTATCGAGAGAATGATCAGTGTCGTGCAAAACCACCATTGGAGAGAAAGAAATACCGAAGTCGTCAGTATGCGTTGAATTGTGTGATATGTGAATGAATGAAATCGCATTATGCAATCCTTCTTGTAAATTTTAAATATAACGAATCCTGTGAAAACATTTTTCTCTTTTTGGACTCACTTTACCTGAGTCATTGGCAGTTTGTGTCAAAAAATAAATTGATTCGTTAAAAGAAAATTGTCCTGTGTTTATTATTTCCAACAGTTCGTATATCTTCAAAACTTAAATGAAGAACAAAAAACATTTAAAAAATATACGAACTTTCATTTAGTTAATGTGTTGATTGTTCCTTAAAAATATAATTATTGGATTTATCTAGAAATATTATAACAAAACCAAAAAATGATATAGTCCAAGAGTAATAAGTAATGAGTAATCAAACTAAAAGAATTTATCCCGCCATCTATCGAGTAGATGTAGAAATATACGTTTTCGCGTTTGATCTATATACTATTTAGCTCGTGCTTTGTAAAACACAAAGTGTGTTGGATAAATTGTGTTCATCAGTGTCGTAATTATAATTTCAATTTAAAATGCCGTTGGAAAATCTAGACGAAGAGGGTTTAGAAAAGAATCCCAAATTAGAGTTGGCTCAAACTAAATTCTTATTGAGTCTACCAGAACATAAGGATGATCCATTTTTAAAGAACAAACTATTAGATGCCATTAAAGCAGACGGTGAGATAGCATTTTTGCTTCCTTAGTTAACAATTTTAGTTTATCTATACAACAGGGGATTTTACTTATAATAAATTAAATATTTGATATTAAAAATATAATTAATACTTTTATGCAAGTTGAAACTAAGAAAACTACCATGACACTTAATATAATCTTTTTATTGCTGACTATTCCTTTTTATAGTATTCCCCTTGATTCAATAATTTCCTTTCCTTTGATTTGAAAATCTCATTTTTTTTTTCGTTACTGTTCAATAAACTCACAATTCATTTTTTCTTTCATTAGATATGGCTCCATTCTATGAAGAAGTTTGTAAAGATTTGAATTGGCCAGTCGATGATAATCTTTTAGCTACAATGAAAGCTAAGAATATGGAACAACTGAAAGAATTAGATGACGCAATTGAAGATGCTGAGAAAAACTTAGGTGAAATGGAAGTCAGAGAAGCCAATCTTAAAAAGTCAGAACATTTATGTAGAATAGGTGATAAGGAAGGTGCCATTTCAGCATTCAGAAAAACTTATGATAAAACTGTATCGTTAGGACATAGATTAGACATAGTATTTCATAATATTAGGATTGGATTATTTTATCTAGATCATGATCATGTTACTAGAAACATAGAGAAAGCTAAAAGGTACGTATGCATTGAAAAATAGGGTGGATGTAACAGAATGTAAGTACCACTATTTTATTTCAGTTTAATAGAAGAAGGTGGTGATTGGGATAGACGAAATCGTTTAAAAGTATATCAAGGGACATACTGCATAGCAGTACGTGACTTTAAAGAAGCTGCAACTTTCTTTTTGGATACGATTAGCACGTTTACCAGTTATGAACTGATGGATTATAATACATTTGTGAGATACACTGTGTATTTAAGCATGATAAGTTTACCTAGAAATGAACTTAGAGATAAGATTATCAAAGGTTCAGAAATTTTGGAAGTACTTCATAGTAATCCAGATGTAAAAGATTACTTATTTTCTCTATATAATTGCCACTATACTGATTTTTTTAAAAATCTAGGTATTAAGAATTTCCATTTCAGTATTAAAACTTGATAATTTCATATTTTATTTGTTATTATGTATGAATATGGTTTCAGCACACGTCGAAGGTTTGTTGCGTAGAGATTATTTAATTTTCCCACATTATCGGTACTATGTTAGAGAGATGCGCATTCTCGCATACACGCAACTTTTAGAATCTTATAGATCTCTTACACTTCAATACATGGCTGAAGCATTCGGCGTTACAATAGAATACATTGATCAGTAAGCTTGGCAAATTTCATTCTCTGCTAGTATAATGTGCATTTAATTATTATTTCAACTATTTTTTGCAGGGAACTATCGCGTTTTATCGCTGCTGGAAGATTGCATTGTAAAGTTGATCGTGTTGGTGGAATAGTTGAAACTAATAGACCAGATAATAAAAATTGGCAATATCAAGCTATGGTCAAACAAGGAGACTTGCTGCTTAATAGGGTTCAAAAGTTATCGCGTGTTATTAATATTTAATTATATAAAGAATAAATCGAAATATCAAATTTTAAGATCTACTTATTGTCTGGTGTGTTCTTAACAAAATCTGAAGTTCTTTTTATTGCCCACGATTTTAATTTTGTATTAAAAACATAATATAATTAATAATTTTTACGATAAAAATATATGCGTTGTATCTAACCCCTAATAAATCCTAGTTACGATTTTTCCCC